TTCTTTTTGTTCAAAAGTGAACGTTAATTTCTCATCTACATCCTGTTGAAACTCAAAACCAAGAAAATTTTTATTTAAACAATTATTAATCGAAAAAGGTGAAACGATTTCGCATGATACCTGATAAAACCTGGCGCCATGTTGTTGTTGATAGTAGAAAATAAATCTATTTTCGTTAGATTGAACGTTATTTTCTTTTAATAATTTGTTTAATAAATAAGTAACAGCGTTGTAACAGATTTCTTTGCGTTTAACATAATAATGACAAAATTCATTTGGAGGACTATAGAAAAAGGTAGTAGGATGAGTTGAAAGTTAATTCAACGTTACGTATCGAGGATGAATATTCTCCGCAGTAGTCACGTGAAAAGCGTTTGCATCCTGTCGTGAAGAAATGGTAGGGACGTTGTTATATTGAGGAATATTGGTAAATGAGGGCGGAAGGTTCTCTGAGTTAGAGGGTTGAACTGGATTCATATTAGACGAGGTAAATGAAGGTAAAAGTTTCACTAAGTTAGAAACTTGATATTGGCGACAGTAATTATTGAAAAGGGAATTTTTTAAAAAAAAAATATGAATAAAATAAAGTAAAATAAAATAAAAGATTTAGTGTTTAGATTTTTACATTAAAATAAATTTAATTAGTTACTGAGAATTTTATTTTTGATATTTAATAATAATCGAGAGTTTATTTAATTTTTTTTCTTTACAAATTTTCGAGTTATAGGGACATGATCAATAGAAAAAAGATTAAGCAAGGAAGTAAAATCTTGCAAAAAAACGAAATTCGTATCCAACAAGGCTCATTTATATATAAATTCTGTGAATATTATTCTGATCAAAAATATTTTTAAATTGAAAACTTATCACAATAATAACTATAATATAATATATTGGTGATAATGAATAACGAACAGTGAGTTTACAATATTGCCTAATATAGAACATAAAATCATAAATTACTAACCGCATATCGAATTTCATCAGTTTTACCAGCCACATCAAACGATGAAATGGCAACATTAAACTAAATAATTACGATTAGAAAACATTATAATGGCTTGAGAAGGCATAAATAATAATCGTTATTTGATAATAGACGAAAGGGTTCATGTCTTATATAAATCATAGAACATCATTAAAAGAAAATGTTATTACGAAAAATTATCGATTTTTTCATGATAATTGTAAATCTGTACAACATAATCAGTCGTAAAATCCTAATCATCTAAAAATTATACTTTATAAAATGTTTAGGAAATGTTTAGTTTGTAATTTATGATTTGCAAAAAAAATTCCATCAAAATACAAAATTGTTTGGCAAGTATTTATTAATAATTAATAATAATTACAGATAACAATAGAAATTTTGGGTTTTTTAAATAATTAAAGAAAAATTGCTACTTTTTTTTCTTTTGCGTAAAGATTACGTCGATCAACAGATTTTTAAGTTATCACATAATTGTAAAACGTCAGTTTGCATGTCCACATGATTTTGTACACATACATTACACACCACTGCACACCACGTATAAGTATAAAAAATTTTTTCCTCCGAAATAAATTGATGTAAAGAGATTTATTAAATAGATAAAAATAGACAATTTTTTATTATTTTTAATGAATGTAATTTATGTAAATCGAATAAAATTTTAAAATAAATATAAATTGATTAAATTTTAAAATAAATATAAATCGAATAAATTTTAAAATAAATATAAATCGAATAAAATTTTAAAATAAATATATATTGATTAAATTTAAATTAAATAAATAAAAGTATATAAAAATAAATAAATAAATTTTATTTTATTTATTTATTTTAATAAATGTAAATTATAAATTATATAAGTCGAATGAATTTTAAAATAAATATAAAATAAAATAAAATAAAATAAATAAAAATTTAATGAACGTAAATATATATATTATATCCAATAAATTTTGAATAAATTAAAATTAAAAATAAGAAATGATATAAGCCTTAACGGACATTACAAATTTATCCTATCATCAAATTTAAGTTTTTTAATCAAAAAAAAAAAAAAAAAAATCATTTTCCAACTTCTAAATTCGCAAGGAGGTGTGAAAGAAAATTTTTGGGGAAGGGAAAGGGCAAAAAGCGTTCAATTTATAACTTTTTGTAAAGTGTAAACTATTAATACTATACTATTAATGAACCATTTACTCGATAAATAAGGAATGAAAATAGAATGGTCACATGGAATTTTCTATACACAAATCATGTGATTTGCAAAAACTTAACCTATTCAGACAAATGTTTTACACGTTTCGTACATATATTATTCAGTTACAGAAATTAAAACCATACTTCCAAAACCTCCAACATGATTTCCATCAAAATCTCTGAAAGAGATAAAAATTCTTGAAAAGAAATGACGTCTATTTACGACGAACTTACGACGAGCCCAATAAGAAGACATCACGATGACCATACCTGACTCGACCAGAGATTAACCAAACGACAATTATTGTGCTTTTGCATGATATGCATTGAAAAAATCAACAACGTAATTGTTTTTTAATAAGGCATCATTTCATACCTGACAATATTTATGTATGACACATTAAGCGAAGGAAAAATATGGGGATTTGATTTTAAATGTTGAAAGAATATTTTTAGTTAGGTCTTGTTTTTTCATCTTTTGGATTTTTATTAATTCTTTTAGGAGTCCAGAAGACAATTCCGCAAGGGAGTTAGGGTATAACATATAAATTAGGTTACTGTTTCTTCTAAATGTAAAAGACGTATCTAAAATTTTACAGCGTCCGTACTTGTCTAAATCTTAAAAGCAAAAAAATAAAAATATAAGTATACTTACAGTATATTATACTTCGAAAATATTTTTTTTTGAACCTATTGATTCGACAAATCGGGAATGTCTATAAAATCTATTAAACAAATTTGGTTAGTGATTACTGGATGATTATTTGTACAAAATTTCATGTGATCTGAACAACGGATATAATTTACTGTCGCACTAAGTGACGCTCGTGATTAGGAACTCAAGTGTTTAACGGATAAATTTTATTCCGAATCTGATTGTAAGTTTGCATAAGCTTAATATACAATGACTCGATTGACTCAATTGACTCATGGGTAAAACAAACTTTTTGGTAACTTTCTTATGAGTACCAGCTAAACTATATGTTTACACGAGTAATTTTTAAATATCTCATACAAGAATTTCGTAATGAAAAGAATCACGCTACGCGTTTTTTTTATAAAAATCAACGGAAAATACATTTATATCAGACGTAAACGTGAAAGAATAAAGATAATTTATAAAATTAGGTAGTATTAAAAACTCAGAAAATTTTTGGCTATAATTACATTGGGATTATTAAGCAATGATTAGAGGGCGTTACATCGATGAAACGCCATCTGGTCATTTCTTTTTATGAATTGAAATTATTTCACATAAGAAGCAATGATTAGAGGGTTACTAGCATTTCAATTTCAGGACGAATAATTATGTGGGATTTTACGTAATCAAAGAAAAGTTTCTTTGAGGCCTGCGAATCGATTTGTCCGCAACATAAATAGAATAAGTATCAACTTACAATTTAAATTTCATATCCCATTATAACTATTACTCATCGTTAATGTAACGCATTTGACTTCCTTTCGATATTCACAAAAAACTTTCCATACGTTGGAACCAAAAATACTACAAGACTTTTAACCATCTTCCATCAAAAAAAAAAAAATGAGTATTGAAGAGTGTTTCTTTGATTAGGATCTGTGTTATCAATGTTCATTATAAAAATTACTATTATAATAATAATGATAAATATACCTTTCAGAACTTTCGAGATGTTTATATTAAAAATAAATAATTTACATGCGCAAGCCATTAAAAAATTATAATTAAAAATTATGTCAAACAACAATTTAATCATGAGCATTATAACAAATTTGGGTGAATAAAGTAAATAATGTAAAATTAAAGTTCCTATATTTGTCTGTACTTACAAAACAAAATTAATTGAATATGAAATTAATATTGATTTTTTGTATTTTAACCTGTTCACATCCATTCTTCGCCAATAATTCTTATAAAAGTGAAAGGGTATGAAAAAGAAAAGGAAACAGAGTGATACAAATTTTATACTGAAACGCGGGCCAATAACTCTTGTAATAAAGAAAATTCCAAATCACCATTTATTCCTTTAGCTCTCAGTGTGCAACAATTTTTAGAAAATCCAACCCAACAGTCATGTACTTATTAAAACGTTAAACAGAAAAATTCTTTTTGAGGACACAGTATTTTAATTAGTTTGGATGCTATAAACATTCCCTGTGATAGCGTAACAAAACTCATATACTAGAGTAACATAATAAACTTTATGTTACTTATATGTTATCACTTAAGTCACTTCAATGAAAATAATACAACTTTCTTTCTATATTCTTCACGTATAACTTCAACAAGAACGGTTACAGCACTAGCATCAAGTACTTTGCCTAGTGCTTATTTTTCTATATCTCTTATGATGCTGTTATGCATTTCTAAACTAAAATTCATACGCAAAATTATTACGAAAGTGGTTGAATGTTCTTAAACTTTCTTCTTCATCATATCCATATAATTACAACTCTGTGATAAGTCAACTTTCATTAGTCATAAGTTTTAATTCTACATTAAATTTATTAGGTTGCATTCTGTAGAAAATGGTTTATAAAATAAAGCTGATGCCAATAAACATGTATATTAACGAGGTTTTGCTATTTTCTAACGGATATTATAAAGAATATTGACGATACCATAATTTTCATTATTATTATTTTTACATTCAGTTGCAGATTTACTTATTCCCAAATCACCTATAAATGCTATAAATGCCATAGAAATTTGATCAGTTGATCTCGGGCGGATCAACCAATCAAATTTGATTTACCCAATATAATGCGCGCCTATTATTATCATGTGATATTGTTTACTCTCAACCGGTTATTATGTACATGTGGATCGCTTATAAAAGGTTCCATTCTTTCCAATGTTAAATTTTTTTCCCACAAATTTTGTTTTTCTATTTTACTAAAAAGAAATTATTAGAAAAATGAGTGATGATAAACTTTTGCAAAAATTATCTCAAAATTCACCTAAATTAACTCCTGATAATAAACCAAATGATAAAAAAAAACCTCATGAAGAAGCTAATGATAATCCTATAAAAGAATCATCAAAAATGGCGCCACAATATAAGGTATTAAATAAAAAAATTTCTAACACAATATGTTTGATAATTTATATTTATGAATATATTTTGATGTTTATTTTATAATTTTATTTAAAAGAATAAGGATGATAGCAAGGTATTGCCTGTTAATCAATTTTGTTTATTGTATTTGAAATTTATATTTTTATTTTAGAAATTATGAATTATCTCAAGTATTTATAAAAATTAAACTTGAAACTTACAAATAATTTTTTTATATTTCATAGAAAAATAACAATCACACTGATAACTCCTGGGAGGTATTGCTAAGAGTTTAATAAAATATTTAAATATTTTATAAGCGAATTTTTTTATTTTGCTATTAAATATTATATTTGAAACTATATATAATAAGGAAACTATTGTTAACGGCTTCCAATTGGATTCGGCATTACCAGAAGATGGAAAATCTCATCGGGGTTTATTAAGATTTCAGCGTAAAACTAAGCATAAAAATAAACAGGTAACAATAAAAAAAATGGGTTGACAAAAAATATATTAAAAACTAAAAATTATATTTTTTAAAAATTATTAAGTATAATCGCGAATTAATACAAGAAGAAAATCGAGAAAAGGCGTCGGTAAATATAAAGATTATTATTATTATTATTAGTAATTTGAAGTTTATGAATTATTTTTTAAATTTTTTAAATTTTTTTTCATTCAAACTCTAAAATAAGGATAAGAAGAACAGATATGAAAGTTTTTGTGAGGAATGGGGATGGGATGATAGTATTTAGTCAAGTGAATTCTCATCTTCCTGATATTGAGAGTGAAAGAATAATAAAAGGTATAATGTTTTTAACGTTTCAACGATCATATATTTATTTATTTTATATTATCAGTAGTAATATTCTATAGTATTGTTTTTATTTTTTATTTTTGTATCTTATTAAATTAAAATTAAATGTTTTAAAACGCGGGTATTTGTTATTTGAAATTCGAATTATAATATTAAAATATTCAAAGCTAAAATTATTAATGTGATCAATATAACGAATCTAATGTAAACGGTATTGTATGTATTTATATTGGTTAACGTCACGAAGTGACATACAATATCTATATTATCGTACGGCTAATGCGAATCGTGCTCAAATAACAGATGAATTCAATATTGTAAGCGAATAAACTATTGATATATTGATATCAATATTGTACGATAATGATAATATCGGTCAAAAAAAAAATCGATAAATAATTAAATAAGCTCTATGTAAATTTATAAATTTTGAATTTAGTATAAAATTACGGTATATGTGCCTCATGATGATCTTTACAAATTAAAATGTAATTTTAGCAAGAAAATCAGATTTGTTAATAAAATTTTCGCATTTAATTCGATTATTAAGATTATTAAGTAAATTTACTATGAAACCACTGTGTAACTATGGCATTTAATTTGAGCTTACTTTAACTTACCCAATTTAAAATATGAAGATCCGAGACATGGCATTGCAGGATTTTTGTTTATATCACACCACATATTGTATATCACTGCTTTCGTGCAACAATTTGTCAAAGGATGTTTATATAATATATATGACTCTTCGGAAATTCTAATGCTCCCGTTTCCTAGTAATAATAATTATTTATCCCCAATTCCTCAATTATACGGTGACGGGATAAATAATATCCGAATTCTCTTCCATATAGAACTAAATACAATATCAAAATTCCAATTATACAATTGCTTGGGACGAGGAATAAATTAGATGAGTTTGGCTTATCTCCAATCGCTCAGATGATTAAATAAACGTAGTCTTATAATGACCCAGGGAAACGCCGTCGCCTTTGCGTATTACGATTAAATCTATTCATGAAGTAAAAATAAGATTTTGGGAAATCTCAAATCTCAATTTGTTGGAACGCAATCAATGAAATCAGCGAGAGATTGATCCAATCGTATAAAATTTTAGCGTATAAAAAAGGCTAGTTGTGAATAATTATTTATTTTAAAAATTTTATTCGATCATTTAAAATACAGTTATAAAAGAGTGGTAAGTTAATTGATTAGATAAAATGGTAAAGATGGACTTTTAGACGTTTGAAATAACGAAAGAATTAAATCTTTCTACTTTTTTGTCTTTACCAAATTCTATCATTCTAAATAATTTTTTATACGTATAAACGTATCTATAAAATAAATTTTTTTTTTTTTGTCAATCAAAGAAGCTTTTTAAATTTGCTTTTTCACAAATTAACAAGAAAATAGATTTATTAATACTTATAGTTGAGCTTAATTATTTATTATAAGAGAAATATATTCATAGACAACTCATAAATACTTATACTTCAAAATTATAAATGACTTATTCTAATTTAATTTAATAAGTATTGACCTAAATATTGTCTTAAACAACATTTAAGATTTTCTTTTTGATCAAAAGTAAATGTCAAATGCTCTTGTTCCGCATTTTGAAGCTCAATTCCAAGAAAATTTTTATTCAAACAATTATTTATTAAAAGGGGAGAAACGATTTCACATGATACCTGATAAAACCTGGCGTCGTATTGTTGCTTATAGTAGAAAATACATTCATTTTCATTGGATTGAGTGTTACGTTCTTGTAATGATTTATTTAATAAATATGTAACGGTATCGTAACAAATTTCTTTACAGTCAACATAATAATGCAAAAAGTCATTTGGTGGTCGGTAAAAAAAGACTTTAGGATGAACAGGAGGTATTTGTTGAGGGGGTGCAGTTTGTGATTGCATATTATAATTTATATTATCATATTGATCCTGAGGCGTAAAAGTCATATAAAGTGCTTTTGCAGCGTAGGAGGTAGATGCTTGTTCATGTGGCGATAAAGTAGGATCGTTATTATCTTGATCAGGATAAGTAGTAATAATTGAAGGTGACAAGTTTTCAGTATAAGAAACTCGAATTCTGGAATGAGTTTGATTCATATTATGCAATGTGGATATTTTCTTTTTTTAAATTATCGTTAGTTATAGATTTAAACAAAATTATGGGGAATACATATATTATGATAAAAAATCTTGAACGAAATCTGACGAATGCCGAATAGGCGTCTTTCTCCTTTTTTTTTTTGTTATTTAATAAAAATAAATTAGTCTATTTAAGAACGAGAATATTAAGATAAATTTTTCAATTATTTTCCATGACCTTTTATATTTTTCGTATGGAGGGACAAATTAATTACAATTGTTAAATGTTGTTCCACAATAATATTTTTTAGGAACCATAACGAGAATCTGTATTAAATAAGCAAGTTTTATAATTAATGAACGACAGACGAGCTTTCTTGGTATTAATGAATCATACATTCCCATTTGTCAATTTTATCGTTTATGGAATTCGTGTGACATTTCTAGACAATCAAAATGTAAATTATGATGTTTCATATTATTTATTAGAGTACGTAATTGTACCACCAAAAAATAGTGTCACGTGTGTGTTGATAAATTAAATACGTCGGAGTTTTTGTATTTATTTAGGCACTCGGTACCGTTGCTCTCCTTTACCATCTTTTGAATTTCAAATCCTAGCATTTTCTTGTGTATGGTTGCATGTGATCGTCCGGTAATTCAATATTTCAGTATACTTTTTTTTTCATTCAAATATATCATTTAAATTTAAACGGCGATAAAGTGTGAAATTTTCACATTTTAATAAAAATAAAAAAATTTTTTTTTTTAGTACTTTACGCGAGTATAATGATTTCTAGGTATTTAAGCTTAATATATAATGGTTTAACGTATTTAGCCATATAATTTGAACTCGTAATATAATCTCAACATTTGAATAATAAAAATTTAATACAATTCTATACAAAATTTTAGCTGAAAAGTATTGGGCAATTTAATTGTGTAAAAAAAAAAATGAATAACTTAGTTTATTGGTTACAACATTTGGAAATGAGTGTAACATGAAAATATCTTTGATAAATGTCCTTATTAAGAATTCATTCAAAGTTGCTATTTTGATATTCATTCGAGACGAATCGTGCTACTGTAATACAGAAACCAAGATCTATTTATTAGTATGGTAATATTTTGTATATATAATCGTATAGATGGGTTTCAGCAGTTGTCACAATTTGTTAACAACATGAAAAATTTATTTATGAAAATCCCGTTTTTTAATTATATTTAAAAATAAATAAAATTTTCTTTTTCCGTGACATTGTGAAAATTATCGATCTCCTAATTACTTATTTTGAGCATAATTAATTAATTAAGAGTATGTGGGCTGAAAGTATCCTTGAAGAAGTAAATAACAATTCGCTCAACATAATAATCAAAAAAATTTTCAATAGTTTTAATAAGAAACTGTTATATAAACAATAGTGTAACTTCAAACTTTATAAAAACATGAATTACGTTAACTTGACGAAACACTAAACCGATAAAATGATAGAGAAACATGAACTGTACATTTTACCATGAAATTATTATTGTTAAAATAAAAAATGATTAAAAAAATTTCCTATTTAAAATCGGTGGTTTTAAATAGTTTCCTATAAGGGTCCGCTTCATCGAACTTAGGTTCTTGTAGTGGACGATGCTATATAGTGTCAACAATTTATATTCGTTAGAATAATTTTTTGTGTTCCTCATTGTATTGCTCCTTACTATCCATAAAATAAACAAATAAATAAATAAACCTGATACGGAATTATTATATCATTCAGCATAAATTGATGCAGAAGTCACATGATCAATATGACGATCATTTCCTGTTTTGGAAATAGCCGGCAATATTGATCATGTGACGAACGGAAATTAAACAGGTTTATTTTTTTTTAAAACAAATAAATATTTATTTTTTCCCGTCAGAACAGGTTTATATTAATGAATAATATTAGCTGTCAGACGTATATATCCTTTTTTGCCTCAACTATCTTGTGATGAACGTTTCATATATATAAATAGCTCATAAAAAGTTCAAATTTTCATTTTCAGATAAAAAAGAAAAACTTTCAATCTATTATTAAATAAAATAAAGTTCTCAGTAACAGATTTTCGTTCACTCTCTTATAAATTTTTTTTTTTTTTTTTAAATACAGACAAATATTTATCTTTTTGTTTATTTATATTTATTACTAAGTCTGATATGAACCAAAATCAAGTTTCTAACTCGGAGAACCTTTTACCTTCGTCTGACATGAATCAAGATCAAGTTTCTAACTCGGAGAACCTTTTACCTTCATCTGACATGAATCAAGGTCAAGTTTCTAACTCGGAGAACCTTTTACCTTCGTCTGACATGAATCAAGATCAAGCTTTTTCTCAAGATAACAATTCCAACACATCTTACATGACTACTGCGGTTCAGGATATTCATCCTCAATATGATAATACGCAAACATCACCTCAACAACAAACTACACTTGCAACTACACCTTTTCATCCTACTACCTTTTTCTATAGACCTCCAAACGAATTTTGCCATTATTATGTTAATTGTAAAGAAATCTGTTATGATACCGTTGCCTATTTATTAAACAAATCGTTAAAAGAAAATAACGTTCAATCTAACGAAAATGAATGTATTTTCTATTATAAGCAACAACACGACGCCAGGTTTTATCAAGTATCATGTGAAATTGTTTCACCTCTTTTGATTAATAATTATTTGAACAAGAATTTTCTTGGATTTGAACTTCAAAATTCGGAGCAAGAGCATTTAGTATTTACTATTAATCAAAAAGAGAATCTTGAATATTACTTAAAACAATATTTAAGCCTTCATTTACTAAACTAATGTTAAGATTTTCATTCACATTTAAATTTATCAGTTTATAATTTTGGTAGTATTGTGGTTTCTTTCTATCCTTAATTTCATTTATTATATTTTTAAAGTTGTATTTCTGTTTATAATAAAACTCAGTTTCATTATAACTAACTTTACATCATAATATTGAATGTTCAGTGACAAAGTACGTTAAATAAGAGAATTAATTCCAGTACTAAATATCAAAAAAAAAAATTGTACACGAGATTGACTAATTATTTTACTCGACGTTTGTTCGTATGATCACGTGATCAACAAATTCCAGAATATTTTGCTAAATTTATAGCTGAAGGACAAAAGAAGACGCCCTCAGAAAAAATTAAAGAAGCAATACTGCTGCATCCGCAAGGTTTAGAATAAAAAAGAAAATGTGTGAACAAGACCTTAGCCCTTGAAAAAAAATGCAAGTGAATGACCTGAATGACCGCAAAAGCTGAAAGTGTTGATTATCAAAAATCAAATGTCTTATGATACAACGTTTATTTTTATTTCAATTTCTAACTTAATTGTCCAGACATTTGTAAGGGAATTTAGATAAGCTAAATAAAACAAACATAAATTCTCAAAATTATTAAAGCTGAAAATCCGATATTCCACCAAGGGATCTTCATCAATAAATATTTTTAGCGTTAGGTTGAGTTCGCCTCTTACCGTAGTATTTGATGCATACGGTTTCTTTTCCCTTGTATTATTTTATTTTATCTTATATAAATTGCACGCCTATACCCATTAGAATCTTAAAAATCCATTAGATTTCGCGTTGTTTATTTAGGCCACACAAATTCGAATTTTCGGTTCACTTCACCCGGCCGGGTCACTTTTTCAAATTTCAATAAAAAAAAGTTTATATATAAAAAATTTATCACGTGATCAGGACGTTTTTTTATTGGCGGTAAGTTTATCACGCGGCTGAGAACTTCTAGAGCGAAAATAAATTCCTCATTTTTAAAAGTCAACCAATCAGATGTCACGATTTTATATATAAACTTTTTTTAATAAACCCCGGGTCCCCGGGTCGATTTTAAATTTCAATGTTACGTGAACCGAAAAATTGAATTTGTGTGGCCTTATATTTATGAAACCTATTTTTTATTTCAAGGTATATTTTATTGGTCAGCATACGACGACAATTAGTTAATAGTAAACCAAATAATTCAACCACGCATACCTTTCGGATTTTGCTACAAAACATGCAAAGAAGAATATCACCGTACCCTAGACTCTGGTTATTCAGTGAAATAATTAATTTAAACTAAGTATTTCACCGACATAGATCGTTGAAACAAACTCTTCCATTATCTTCTAATCTGTCTACTTTTCCGCTGATTCGAATTTTTTAGTTGCTTTAAATGATACGTGAATACTAATTTTATCTGTCGATCGACCGCTAAGACTATAAATATTTCAAAACGGGACGTGCTCACGTGCATAATTAAGGAGTGTTACACAGTTAAAATAATAAAATTCTCCTCAAAGAAGGAGTCGATCATGAACAATAATAGTTTTTATATAAGCGGCAAACAATTATGGTTACACCTTCACAAGCAAAACAATTACGCTTACGTATTAAAATAATAACGTATTATTTACTTTTAATTGTCTTATCGAAAAGATGATTATAAAAGAAACAAATTGTATTATTATAATTGTTCGACGTGAAATCTCATCGCAGCAGCTGCAAATTGTACAATATTTAGACTGATTGAATCTAAGTAAGACCTATTTATGTATTATACAACATGTAAGAATTTTCTTTGCATGCCTCTTTGTCAATTGACAATCTATTTACCGTATCATAAAAATAATATTTTTTTGAGTCACAACAAGATAATTTAAGTTAGAATGAGTCATCGTTTTTTTAATTAAAAAAAAAACAATAATAAATAATATATACGAAATTACATATTCTTCAATAATAAAGCATAAAATTATATTTGTTTCATAATAACATGAAGAATTTATTTTTGAAACGTAATGCAATTTAATAAAGGGGGTTACGTTTCAAAAATATTATAGCATGACACTTGTATAATACTTATTTATAATAACATATAACAGGATAAAGAATAAGAAAACAAAATTCAGTAATACAAATAATATATACTAATGACATAATTTAAAAGTAATAATTGTGTTTATAATTTAGGTTGTGAAATAATGGTATCGTTGCTATTTGAACTCTTATTAATTTGTTTTTGCGTCAAGCGATTAAGGAAAAATCCCTTCAAATGAGATTCCAAATTATCTCTTTGAAATTTTGAAAAAGTCAAATATTCTTGTTGTGGTTCTTCAACTTGTTTGAGTTCGATGCCATAAATTTTTTTGTTTAAAAATTGAACAATTAATGAATGTGAAATTAATTTACAAGTTAGTTGATAAAAATTATTGTCATCAATATTATAATAAAATGTATGGTCAGATAAAGGGTCAACAGTCTCGTTTGATAATTCACAAGTAATGTGATATATTTGAGAGTCTCCTGGAGGATTGTAAAAAAAGGCCATTCTATCATTTGAATGGTTTAAAGAAGGGGTTGCTAATTGGGTTAATTGATCAATATCAGTACATCCTTTGACAAAAATAACGTCACTCATTTTTGAGGTAAATAACTGACACGAGGTTTATATTATTAAAGGATTTTGAATTTTTTTTTTTTTTCAATAAAAAAAGGACGCGAACTTTATATTATTGAAGGATTTGAATTTTTTTTTCAATAAAAAAGGACACGAATTTTTTTTTCAAAAAAAAAGTAAAACATGCTTATTTATATCTTAATCATTAATTATGATGTCTTTGTTCAATTACTATTAATAGTTAACATAATGTTTACTATAAATGTTTTGAAGCAATTTATTTGTATTCCAAATTTAAACTAATAAATTTAGACGGATGTTACCAATTTTTTCCCCTGTAAGTCATGTGTTGAGCGATCTACAAAATAGAACTTCTTGCTTTTTTTTTTAAAAAAAAAAAGTATTTATATTAAGCATAATTCTATTTATAAAATGTATTATTATGAAAATAAACTAAATATTTCTAATATCTCTTTAACTGGCAATTGTGAGAATTACTATATGTCCAGGTTTGATGGTAAAGTGTCCACTAACTAGAATCCAGAAGGACCTCTTCTGGTTGAGCTAGTTTGTCATTTAACTTTCATTTTTCCAACGAATGGCGCTATAAATTTTAAATAAACTGCTTAAAGTAATTGTTGGGCATGATTTATTACAGGGTACCCGCCTAAATTTAAATTCACTAATTAATTGATGATTAATATTTAGTGTATAATTAAGGAAAATTGTATTTTACGCAAATAATTCCCTTTTGTTTGGTTGCGGAATCATGTTTGACGGCGGAGTTCATCACTCGTCGAAGGGGAAAAAAAATTATATCTACGCCTCCTAAATTAAAATTTTTAAATCCTCATATTCCGGAATAATGAATTTTTTTTTATAATTAATATCAAACTTAAATGCATTATTTTATATATTAGAACTTATACAGTAGTGTTCGTCCATTTACTTTATTATCAGTAACTGTGAGTCTGTAATATAGTACCTTATTTATATATTTGTTATTACGACTAAATCCATTATTTGAAAAAAGAATAATATCTAGAAATCATTTTAATTTAACCTTATAAATGTGAAACGTATAATAAGTATATACCATTGTTAATTATTAACTTACGAAAGTCCAATTTCGTTGAAATCGCTTGATTAAATGATAACTCACGTATAATTGAGAGTTTAATAATACAATTACAAACAGGTATATCAATAGTGAAAATTTCAATATACTGGAACTCACGAAAAATTATATGAAGTTCCACTATGCCAATTAAACTAAAAAAATACTCTACTTCACTTTGATTTTACTGTTTCTTAAGATAAATTATCGTTATTTTCGTTATTACCCACCTTTATTGTTAAATTATTTTTTTGTTGCATAAGAATGTTTCGTTGTTCAATGATTTCCTTATTTATTTTATTTTATTTTTAAAATATAGACAAGGGCTGAGCTCTTACAAAAGGAAACTACTACGCTAACACTATACCCATATAAACCCACCCTATTTTAGGGGCCCTAGTATGGAGATCACGTGATACTGCGGATTTCAATAGGAGCCGTAGTAAGATCACGTGCAATATGATCAAACTCAAATATGTCTTAATGTCTATTTGGTCATCATAGTAATTATGATCATAGTATTATATTGGTTGAAGTCAAGCATCGAGTAACAATTTTTTTAATATTTAAATGGCAATCATTATTCTCTTATTTAACGTACTTTGTCACTGAAAATTCAATATTTTGATATAAAGTTAGTTATAATGAAACTGAATTTTATTATATAAATTTATGAACAGAAATACAACTTTAAAAATATAATAAATAAAATAAAGATAGAAAGAAGCCACGATACTACCAAAATTATAAACTGAAAATTTAAACATGAATGAAAAATCTTAATATTAGTTTAGTAAATGAAGGCTTAAATATTGTTTTAAATAATATTCGAGGTTCTCTTTTTGATTAATAGTAAATACTAAATGCTCTTGTTCCGAATTTTGAAATTCAAATCCAAGAAAATTTTTGTTCAAACAATTATTAATCAAAAGAGGAGAAACGATTTCACATGATACCTGATATAACCTGGCGTCGTGTTGTTGCTTATAGTAGAAAATACATTCATTTTCGTTGGATTGAACGTTATTTTCTTTTAACGATTTGTTTAATAAATAAGTAACAGTATCGTAACAGATTTCTTTGCAATTAATATAATAATGACAAAATTCGTTTGGAGGTCTATAGAAAAAGGTAGTAGGATGAAAAGGTGTAGTTGCAAGTGTAGTTTGTTGTTGAGGTGATGTTTGCGTATTATCATATTGAGGATGAATATCCTGAACCGCAGTAGTCGCAGTAGTCATGTTGATGTTGTTATCTAGAGAATTAGAATAAATCGTGGTAAATGAAGGCGGAAGGTTCTTCGAAATAAAAGCTTGATCTTGATTCATGTCAGACGAAGGTAAAAGATTCTCCGAGTTAGAAACTTGATTTTTGTTCATATCAGACTTAGTAACGAATATAAATTAATGACAAGATAAACGAAAGATAATTGTTTGTTTGTATTTAAAAAAAAAAGAAAATCTATTGCTAAAGAACTTTATTTATTTAATAATAGATTGAATTATTTTTTCTTTTTTATCTGGAAATGAAAAATTAAATTTTTTAAAAAGTAAATTTCAAAGCATATTTATATGAAATTTTCACTCCAGGCGTCTTTTTTTTTGTTCATATGATTTAGTATTGGAATATGACGACAGTGGTACATTAGCGAAAAAAAAATTAACCTGTTTAAAAAAAAATGGAAAAAAGTAAAAACCTGTTTAAAAAAAAATGAAAAAAAGTAAACCTGTTTAAAAAAAAGTAAAAAAAAATGGAAAAAAGTAAAAACCTGTTTAATTTCCTGTTGGAAAAAAAATATTATTATTTCCTTACCAAAAAAGAAATGATCGTTATTTATTTTGACCATAACGTGCGTCCCTGTAAGTCATGTGTTAAGCGATCTACAATGAATTTTCCACATAAAAAACATTATTAATGCTAAAATTTACTTTTTTTTAAAAAAAAGTATTTATATTTAAAATCTATATACGGAAATGATACGTTTTGTATACATTTTATATATGGTTTTAAAAATTCCGTATCACGGGTCTGGAGAGGTTTCTCGCTCTCGATAATCAGCAATATTATAATAAAAATAACATAAAGAATTCTATACATGACAGTATTTACGTATAGGGTCTGCGGATTAAAGATAAATACGGCCTTTAATCTGGGTGGAGGCAGATTATATATAATTTTTATTTTTTCGTTTTATTTTAATTTTCTATTTTGTTTGCCCGTTGGGTGAGTTTTGTTTCTTTATTTTTATATAGTTCTATATTTTCTTTTAATCTGGTTTGTTGGGGACGATTTAATTTATTATTTCGTTCTAGATATTTAGTTTAGTATTATTGTTTAGATAGTGTTTTCTCTGCTATAACTGTTATCAAACTAAAGACATAATTGTAATCTCTTATCAAATAATAAAGTTCGCTTGTTAGCCAGGAAAAAAAAAAAAAAATCGTATCACAATTCCGTATATTTCATAAGTAATTTATTTTTGAAGATTTTTTAAAAAATTAATGTATACGGAATGAATATTGTGTATACGGAATTTATTCCTGTCTCTTATACACATCTAGATGTGTATAAGAGACAGGAATTAATGTATACGGAATGAATATTGTGTATACGGAATTTATACTGAATTTTTAAACTTAATAATTTTATTATTCCGTATTTCCATTCCGTATACTTTCCGTATCCGCATAACATGTGACCATTTGATTGTTTATTGTGATACGTTTTTTATTTATTTAGATCACCGATCTTTTTTTTTATTATTCCTCCTTTTTCTTTCCTCCTTTTCTTTTATATTTCCCCTTTTTTATCCCACTTCTTTTTTTATCCCACTTCTTTTTTATCTCACCTCATTTATTTCCATCTTATTGTTATTGTCTTCCTCCTTTTTAGAAGTTTTTTAAAAAATTTTTTATAATTTTTATAATTTTTTGGTTTCCCTCTTTTTTTTTTGTAGGGCGGTTTTTTTTTATGACACTGAGCTTCTTTTTTATAGGAATGTTTCCTCTTGGAGACCCAGACTTTCTGTATGTATTAAATAGAGGGAATTGAAATTAATTAGAAATGTAGTAACATTTCTTCTTTTTTTAGGTTGCTGGACTTTTGGAGACTTAGATGAGCCTGGGATACTGTAGGTACTATATAGGAAGGAGTTTGAGTAAAAGTAACATTCTTTACATTTCTTTTTATTTTGTTTTTCAGGTCGTCAGACTCCTGAAAAGTCGAACCTAGACTTAGGTCTAATTCTATAGGGTTTTTATTTGCATCAAAGTAACATATTAACTTTCTTTTTTGTATATTTTGTAAGAGCAGGTTTTTCCTTAGGACTACTACTTCAAATATCTTAGGTATGCATGGCATTTTTATTTTAATAAAGATTTTTGGGAGGGAATGTTTCATATTTGTATTTTGTATTATTTTTATTTTATTTAATTAAGTACTAGTAACTTAAGCAGTAAATTCAGTGACCAAATCATTATAAATTTTGTGGCTAAACCATGTAAATTCTGTAACAAAACCAGTGTAAATTCCGTGATAAAATCGTGCAAATGATACGTTTTTGTGATACGGAATTGTGCATTTTTCCGTATCCTCTCATGATACGTTATTTCTAAGGAAAAAAAATCTTATAAAAACTTTATAAAAAACGTATCCAGTTTTTTATAGGGAAGCATAATTCTATTTATAAAATGTATGAAAATTAACTAAATATTTCTAATATCTCTTTAATTGGCAATTGCGAGAATTACTATATGTCCAGGTTGATGGTAAAGTGTACATTTTATAACTAATTTGACCCACTAACTAAAATCCAGAAGGACCTCTTCTGGTTGAGCTAGTTTGTCATTTAACTTTCATTTTTCCAACGAATGGCGCTATAAATTTTAAATAAACTGCTTAAAGTAATTTTTGGTCATGATTTATTACAAGGTACCCGCCTAAATTTAAATTCACTAATTAATTGATGATTACTACATTTGATAGATTAATATTTAGTGTATAATTAAGGAAAATTGTATTTACGCAAATATTTCCCATATTTCCCTCTATGTTTGGTTGCGGAATTATGTTTGACGGCGGAGTTCATCACTCGTCGAAGAGGAAAAAAATTATATCTACGCCTCCTAAATTAAAATTTTTAAATTCTCAGGAATAATGAATTTTCTTTATAGTAAAATTTTTAATTAGTAATCAATATCACATACCCCATAAAAAATTTCCTGGGAAAAACTCCGATAAATGATCATTTTTCTAGTTTTTATTCCGAAAAAACTCCGATATATGATCAATTTAGGGATATATAGTAGTGTTTGTCCATTTACTTTATTATCAGTAACTGTGAGTCTGTAATATACCTTATTTATATATACAACATATTAAAATGATCTATAATGATTGTTATTACGACTAAATCCATTATTTGAAAAAAGAATAATATCTTGAAATCATTTTAATTTAACCTCATAAATGTGAAATGTATATTAAGTATAATTATTAACTTACGAAAGTCCAATTTCGTCGAAATCGCTTGATTAAATGATTAATAACCCACGTATAATTGAGAATTTATAATACAATTACAAATAAGCAATGAATTTCGGATTTTGGTATCAGCCGGTAATAGTGAAAATTTCAATATACCGGAACACACGAAGTTCCACTATGCCAATTAAACTAAAAAATTCTCTAATTCACTATGTTTTACCTTTTCTTAAGATAAATTATCGTTATTACCGACCTTTATTGTTAAATTATTTTTTTGTTGCATAAGAATGTTTCGTTACTCAATGATTTCCTTCTTTTAGGGAACGTCCAGACGTCCAGTAAGTATAGGGATCACGTGATACTGCGGATTTCATATGTCATATGACCTAATCATATGTGCTATATTTACCCCAGTATCACCGATACTTTTATAATTAAAATTCCACCCCACGTGACCGGTGACATTTAAAGGGATGTGAAAAAAATAATTTTGCGAGGCAAAAAAAAACGAAGTCCCTCAGATAAATATAAACAGTGAAAACGCGATGAGGTGTGATGCCGGTGATGAATATTACAAAATCACGTGGGGGTGGAAAAAGTGTCGGTGATACTGGGTAAGATTATGTGCTATGACATGCTCATATGTCTATTTTGGTCATAGTAATTATAATCATTTGAAGTAGTTACAAATTTTTTTGATATTTAAATGGCAATCTTTATTATCTTTATTCTCTTATTTAATCGTACTTTGTTACTGAAAATTCAGAAACTGAGTTTTATTATATAAATTTATAAATAAAAATACAACTTTAAAATATAATAAATAAAATAAAGATAGAAAGAAACCACAATACTATCAAAATTATAAACTGATAAATTTAAATATGAATGAAAAATCTTTATATTAGTTTAGTAAATGAAGGCTTAAATATTGTTTTAAATAATATTCGAGGTTCTCTTTTTTGATTAATAGTAAATACTAAATGCTCTTGTTCCGAATTTTGAAGTTCAAATCCAAGAAAATTTTTGTTCAAACAATTATTAATCAAAAGAGGAGAAACGATTTCACATGATACCTGATAAAACCTGGCGTCGTGTTGCTGCTTATAGTAGAAAATACATTCATTTTCGTTTGATTGAACGTTATTTTCTTTTAACGATTTGTTTAATAAATAGGTAACGGTATCAACAAATTTCTTTACAATTAACATAATAATGACAAAATTCATTTGGAGGTCGATAGTAGGATGGAAAAATTTGAGGTGTATCATCATATTGAATATATCCTGAACCGCAATAGTCACGTGATCTTGGACGTTGTTATCTTGAGAATTAAAAGATATAGTAATTTGAATTTGATTCATATTAGACGAGATGAATGAAGGTGAAAGACTCTCTGAGTTATAAACTTGTTTCATGTTAAATTTGGTAATGAATATAAATATTGAAGAAAATACAAAAAAATAAAATAAAATAAATAAAATAAATAGACGAAAAATTAAAGGCTTATTTGTATCTAAAAATATTAAAGATTTAAGAAAGTGTGAACGAAAAATTATATTAATGAGACTTTATTTTGTGTATTTAATAATAGATTGAAGAATTAATTTTAAAAATTTTAAATGAGATAGATTTCAAAGCTTATTTATATGTCATAAACTTCATCACCACTGATTTAGATGAGGCAAAAGTGCGATAGCTACATTTGCAGTTATCACACCAGTTCCAAATACCATCACCAAGATAGGTGAAAAAGTCGCAGTCCAAGTTGTAAAGGAAGGAATTAAGTTGAAGTTCGGAGAAGCGAGAAAGAACGTTGTCGTGGAGGAAAGTTTTACGGCAGAAAGCTTCTTGATGGAAAACGTGCCCTTGGATAGAACTACAAAAGAGGATATAATAATATGAGGAAGTTAGACCAGCTCGAGCGAAATGTCACAGTTTGTTTACAGGATACGAAAACTCGCTTAGGTTTGTAACGGTCGGAATGTATTAAGCTTCAAAGGTCTTGATTTTTCAGTTCTTTTAAGAAATTTGTTGGGTCGTTTTTTTGCCATATTTTTGGGTGAACCCACTCTTTTGAATGAAACAAAGAATAAAGGTTTATTTTATTTCGGAAGTGTAGTAGGACTAGCTTTTAACCTTGTAAAGTATTTTGTATTTTGGTTGGTATAGTTTAGATTACAGTAGAGTTTTTTCATTAGAGTTTTTTTTTTAGAGGAGTTGGGTGTATATATATTTGTAAAAATCTTGCGTACGCGTAAAAAAGATTAATACAGTAATAAAATCAGAGCAAGGGTGTGTTGCTTATCCTTACCCTGTAGTGCGTAGGCCTGTACCATATTTTTAATTTCGTGATAAAAATCGAAGATAAATAGTCAAACACACCATCAAACCATCCGACTACGATGAAACACATACTCCTGGTCCTGCCAAAACAGAATTGCTCCTTGTAATCAAGAATGGTCCTATTCCATTAAGTTGGTCGCCACTGCCACTACACGTTGAATTAAAAGAAAAATATCTTCCTTTTGAACCGCAACAATTTTTATATTCGAATTCTGGTAAAGCTTATTATCCCGGGTTTCAGACAACTGGAGAAATCATACATATTAAAACAAAAAGGTACGAGAATGAAAGGTTTCCATCAACAATAAGAAACTGGCCACAAGAATCTAGCACGTCATTGTACCGAAGCACGTGATTTTGGTACGAGTCGCTTAAATCAATCATTTAGAATAGTTTCATCAAAAAACTCGGATACTCCAGATCACGAGAAAATTCGAAAGAAATATAAAAAGAAAACCAAATTGAATTTAAAAAGATTTTGATCTTACAACCCTTTACAGATTACGAAGGAGGAAATACTTCCAATGACACCAAACTATTTGAACAAAGACATTTAAAATATCAGCAAGATATACGAACAAAATAGCTCTTAGTCAATAAAAAACGTTGACCTACGACCACTAGGACTTAGGTAAATCTTTACAATAGTTTTTTAGGGTTTCTTTTTATACCTATTTTTTAGTCGTCAATTTTTAATTTTTAGTTGTTACCCATCAACGTATTCAAACCCAAAATAAATTAATCATTCCATACCTTACAGGTTTTATGTATAGCACTTTTTTGCAGGGAAATCCGTTCCAGCAGTTTCACCGGCCACGTTAAACGAGTTATATAAGGACATATCGTGAAAAATGTTTTTATGAATAAAAATTATCTTTCTAAGGGTTACAAAGTAAAATGTCAGCTCCGAAATACAGTATATATGTGTATTTAATTATTAATGAACGTGGAAAAGTAGGAATAGTTCGGGAATTTTTTTGTGGCACGTGAGTATCAGCGTTTGATGGTTTGGGTAATAACCAATAATGTGTACAATATCAAAACAGATTTTTCTAATTAACATAATAATGACAAAAGCATTTGATCGATAAAAAAGACAGTATAATGAAAAAGATTAAACTGTGCAGATGTAGTTTTGAGACTGCGTAGCAGCGTAGGATGGCGAGCAACCGTAGAAGTCACGTGAAGCGTATTTGTAGTGGTAAGGTTCTGTTACGGCGAGACAGTAAGGATGTTGTTGTATCTGGAATCGAGTTAAATGAGGCGAAAAAAAATCTCCAAAGTTAGAGATTGATTTTGAGTTGGACCGAGTATTAATACTTCTTTTTTCTATTTTTTCTAGAAAAAAGAATTATTAGGAAAAAAACAATATGATAAACAATGTGTTTAAAAGTATAAAAATTTTTTGTTTATATTTTACCGATCACATAATTATTTGTTTCTTTAATGAATTTTCTTAATTGGGATAAATATTATGGTAAGCTATTAAATCAAAATTAATAAGTTTCATGTTATTAGTTCTTAAATAGTTAGATGCTTTTTTATCCGAAGTAGCGTAATATGACGAGACATCTTTCATTTTTTTAATGAGTTAACAAGAACAAAATGATGAAAAAAATGAACCTCATTATAGAGCAACATTAGTTTATTCTTATCCCTCCGAATTGGATAATGTTGAATCTGAAAAAGTTAAAGTTGATGATAATGATCCTCATCAGTCATTGAACATGTTTCAAATCATGGTCAAGTAGTCGAGTTGTATTATTAGGAGATGTTGCTCATGCTGTGTCCTATATTAGGATTAGGAGCAAATAATGCTATTCAAGATGATAAACTTTCTCAAGCATTACTTAAATATACTGATGATAATATTTCTTTTATTAAAGAATATGAAAAAGAAATGTTAAAACGAACATCTGCTGATGTACTAAAATCTAGAAATGTCACGTTAAGACTTCCACACCACTTGGACCTTTAAGAATTAAAAACTATTAAGGTAGTACAGTACATGTGCTTTTTCCAAATATAATTTTGTCCAAAATTAGCAGCGAGTATTTTTAAAATTTGTAGCTGAAACTCGATACTGGGAAATAATACTATTGCAGGGTGTAATTGCATGTAGCACTGAATGATATGCTGTCAGATTAATTATGAAAAGTTTGTAGTTAGTTAATAAACTTTCCTTATTTTTTATAAAAAAAAATAAATTTTTTTCACAAAAGTAACGAATCTACAGGAACGTTATGTCGTTATATTTTGATGGATTATTTTATTAGACATAACAGTGAGTTCTAAACAGTTTCATGTGACTGAGTTTAAAAGATAAAAAAATTTTAAAAAATTTGATTAGCAATCAAGTTAATAATTATCGCTATAAAAAAGGAAAAATCCCTTACAGTAGTATCTGCTGTGACACGCCCATCCAGGTTACAGGCTAATTTTCATCTATTATATTATTTCCTTATAAAATCTTTGATCCAATAGATTTCATGTGTACATTAAAGTATCTTTTTTAAATTTTATTACATTGATTATCTTTAACCTATTTGCTATTCCTTTTTATAAAAGGGTAATTGAATCCCTATAAGAAATATGTATACGGAAAGGAAACGTTTTGTATACATTTTATGTACAGTCGCGTCGGAAAGTATTGCCCGATTACTTACAGATGGAGGTTATAATTATTTAGCCACTATGGTTATCCCAGCATCCAGTGATCAGAGTTTGACAAATTAAGGCTTGTTGGATTCACCTCACCAAGACGAGTCCAATGTTAGTTGAATCATGTCTTTAGGTCCAATAGATGCCGAGATATACCTCCAAACATACTTTACCTGAAAATTTTTCGAAACTCTAAATTTCATAAAATCGGGAATAGCTCACTATCCAGTGATCCAATTTTGATAATCAAAGGCTCATTGGATTAGTCTCTTCGAGACGCATCGAATGGTGACCAGCCCATGTGTATAGTATCGATATATCACGAGATAATGGCAAAAACGTCCAAAATATATTTTAATGTATATCTTAGCATATATTGATCCTAGAGATATGAACCGACCACCATTCAATTCATCTTGACGAGACGAATCCAATGAGCCCTTATTCGCCAAATTTGGATCACTGGATGCCAAGATAATCACGAGTGGCAAGATAATTATAGATTTCATCTTTAAGCCAAAAATCAGCTAAAATTAAATAAAATTGCAACTACTGATTTGCCAACAAATTTACTTGGTTTAAACAAAGTAAAGAACAATTAGAA